GAGACTTTAATTTAGACCTTCTTAAATACGAAACTCACAATGGCACGGATGAATTCATTAATACTTTAGGAACGTCCTTCTTTCAACCTCATATTCTTCAACCAACTCGTATAACAGATCATACAGCTACCCTTATTGATAATATTTTCTTTAATTCTATGGATTATTTTACTTTAAGCGGTAACATAGTCTATGATGTTACTGATTATTTGCCTAATTTTCTTATCATAAATAAATTTTCTTTCCTAAATACCAAAATTAAAATTTTTAGAAGAGACTACTCCAAGTTCAATGAACCTGATTTGATTGACGAGGTTCGAGGAATAAACTGGCAACATGTTCTAACTGATCCTGATCCGTCTGCACTGTTTGAAATATTTCTAAATAAAATGTCTTCAATTATTGATAAACACCTTCCCATTAAACGTTTATCTAAAAAAGAATTGAAGATTCAATCCAAACCATGGATAACGCCAGGCATTAAGAAATCGATTTATGTAAAAAACAAATTTTATCAAAAATACCTAAAAACAAAATCTCAACATTATCACTTTAAATTTAAAATATACCGAAATAAAATAAATCATTTGTTACGAATTAGCAAAAAGAAATATTATAACAATTATTTCATTAAACATTCTAAAGATTCAAAAAGAATTTGGAACGGTGTGAAACAAATTATCTACCTAAAAAAAAATAGCAACTGTAATCCTACAAAATTAATATATAATGACCAGGAATTAAACGACAGCAAAAAGATCGCTGATGCCTTTGGTGATTATTTTGCTAACGTAGGGGAAAATCTTGCAAGGGAAATACCTAAAGTCGACAAATCACCATTAGATTATATTCATAATTATTCCCCTACTAACAGTTTCTATCTATCCCCTACTACATCGGCTGAGATTGAGTCTATGATCACAACTCTGAAACCTGGTAAAGCAACAGGGCCCTCCAGCCTTCCTATAAATATTCTTAAAATCTTGAAACAATTTATATCGAAACCCCTGGAAATTGTGTTCAATGCTTCTTTCGCTACAGGTATAGTACCCGGTAAGTTTAAGATCGCCAGGGTTATCCCAGTATTCAAAAAGGGGTTACAAATTAATATAAATAATTATCGACCAATTTCTCTTCTTTCTGTTTTTAGCAAATTACTGGAAAAACTCATGTATAACAGACTTAGTAGTTTCCTTGAGAATTTAAATATCCTTTATGATAATCAGTTCGGTTTTCGATCTCATTATTCAACTGAGAATGCTATTCTTTCTATAGTTGATAAAATTCAACAAGCAATTGAAAAGAAACAATACTCTTGTGGGATTTTACTGGATTTTAGTAAGGCATTTGACACGGTTGATCATACAATACTACTGAAAAAGTTAGAAAAACTCGGAATTCGTGGGATTGCCAAAAAATGGTTTGATTCTTATCTAACGGATAGGAAACATTTCATCTCAATAAACAATATTTCATCTAATCTATATGACATCACTTGCGGAATTCCCCAAGGGTCAGTGCTAGGACCCCTCTTATTTCTTTTATACATCAATGATTTTCATAAGTGCTCTAATTTTTTCGATTTTCATTATTTTGCTGATGATTCAAATTTGTTTTGCAAAAATAGATGCTTACTTGAACTTGAAACCAATATAAATATAGAATTAAGTAATATAGATACTTGGTTATGTGCTAATAGGTTATCACTTAATGTTGAAAAATCAAACTTTCTTATATCTCATCCTTACCAAAAAAATATACTAACAGACATAAAACTTTCGGTAAGAAATAAAGTCATTAAACAAGTAGATCACATAAAGTATCTTGGTGTTTTTTTCTATCCTCATTTAACTTGGAAAAAACAAATTACGTTCATTTCAAAAAAGATTAAAAGAAGTATAGGAATTTTGTCTAAACTTAGATATTATGTAGATAGCAACATTCTGGTTAATTTATATTATGCTTTAATTTACCCTTTTATAACATATGGTTTAATCATATGGGGTAATGTTTATTCCTCAACTGTCAAACCTTTAATTATACTCCAAAAAAAGGTTGTGCGTGTTATAACATTCTCTAAATTTGATGCCCACTCTAGCTCACTTTTCAAACAGTTGAATATTATTAAGTTGACTGATCTTCTAAATCTACACGTGGTTCTTTTCATGTACAAATATCATAACAACTTGTTGCCACCAACGTTCAACAATTTCTTTACTCCTGTGTGCAATGTTCATTCTCAAAATACGAGGCTTGCTTCTAAATTAACATATACACTACCAAAAGCAAGAACAAATTTCGGAATTTTCAATATCAAATATCAAGGCGCTAAAATTTGGAATTCTTTACATGAATCATATAAAGACTTGCCGATTTCTCAAATTAAATATAAAATTAGAATCGATTTTCTTGGAAAGTATTGATTCAGTTTCCAACTCTAACTTTTTCTATACGTTATCGGGAGTCATGTAGGACTCCTTTCTCGATCTTTTAAATATATTTGATATAGAACTATATATTGTCAATTTTCATAATTTTTTCGTCCTTTATTTGGTTTCCTGATATTTATATAGCCCTGTGGTTATTTCAGGGAGCCAGCTCTCTTTCAAATCTTCTCAAAAATTACAAAACAATTAGTCACAGATCACAAATATATTTTACTAATAATAATAATGTTCACTATAATTTAAATAATTTCTTTGTGTATATAAATTGCAATTTGAAAGGAGCAAATAAATCTTGTCTTGTCTTGTCTTGTCGTATATTATACTATGCATGGGTCTTTGGAACACATATGGAACATTTCCTGCATGCATGCAGTAGGGACTTCTGTTCAAAGTATAAGGGTCGGAAAGTTTGGAATGCTTTTCATCCCATGCAAGGCGTGGGACTCCCAAATTTAATTGGGTTTTAGTTTCAATTTAATTTAGACCTCTAATTTATTTTTAGGTTTAGTTTAGTTCTAGTTTAAAACAAAAAATTCATTTTAGCTCTAGTTTAATTCAACGAGAAAAAAACAACTGTTTTTTTAGTTGAAGGACAATGGCAACAAAAATTTTTATTGACTATTTCAATCCTACTTACTGTAATTGACGACTTAATTACGAAAATATTATCATTTCCCTCTCGAACATTTTAGTCTACGAGTAAAATGCATGCAAACTTTGTGTCTCGCCGCCATCTTGGAAAATATTTTTGAAAAATTATCTCAAACTTTGTGACGTCATTAGATGGGTAGCACCAAAACTACAAGAGAGAATGGGCTATTCCATTTAATATCCGTACCCCCCCCCCCCTGTCGAGGATCCCTGGAATTCTTCAGGGGTAAAGGGTTTTGAGCTTGGAATTCTTCAGGGGTAAAGTGTTTTGAGGTTGGAATTCTTCAGGGGTAAAGGGTTTTGAGCTTGGAATTTTTCAGGGTAAAGGGTTTTGAGCTTGGAATTCTTTACGGGTAAGGAGGTTTGATTTGAAATTTTACAGAGCTTGGAATTCTTCAGGGGTAAAGGGTTTTGAGCTTGGAATTCTTCAGGGGTAAAAGGTTTTGAGCTTGGAATTTTTCAGGGGTAAAGGGTTTTTAGCTTGGAATTCTTCAGGGGTAAAAGGTTTTGAGCTTGGAATTTTTCAGGGGTAAAGGGTTTTGAGCTTGGAATTCTTCAGGGGTAAAGGGTTTTGAGCTTGGAATTTTGGAATTCTTCAGGGGTAAAAGGTTTTGAACTTGGAATTCTTCAGGGGTATAACCATAAAAAACATGTATCCTCGACAGGGGGTGTACGGATATTAAATGGAATAGCCCAATTCTATTGCGTGCGTGTTATGTTAGCTAAAAATATGTCGGTTTTGAGCGTTATACTGGCCAACACTCTTCGCAATCAAACAAGAGAAGTCTACACTATCAGATAAAAACATATCGAGCGACTGAAAAAGCAAGGAATGGCGCAATTTACAATACAGGTATTGATCATAAAATATTGCATTAGTATTTGCCTTGTTACACTCGAATTTCTGCGTTTATTTAACACGGAGTAGGATATATACTATGAGAAATAGTGTTACAAACAGGTTACATACTTAGTAAAACGTTTCTGCCTTTTGTTTTGGCTCAAAGGGAATTACGCGTGATACACTCGGTAGTCGGTATCGTTTATAGTCATGAAATTGTGTTTACCCATCTAATGACGTCAGATAATGTATGTTGTGGCATAAATTAGCATGCACGTTCATTTTCAAAATGGCGAACAACTGTTGAACTTTTTATTAAATTTTCTCAACAACTAAACGCGACAAACGGGCAAAAATATGAAATTAAATATTCCGTAAGTATGCCTAATAGATATAAGTAATAAAAATTTTGGTTGCCAATCTCCTTTAAGTTTTATTCGTCGGAATTAAGTTATAGGAATTATTCCGAATTAAGTTGATGAGGACTATAGGACCACTGAAAATGAACTCAACCCACTGGGAAGATCAGCTCAAAATTAAAAGATGCACAAAAATTGGGGACACATTTGGATATAAAGTATACTGTATGAAAAACAAGCTTTCAAACTCCAGACCTATCGGAGGAGATCGTATAGTATACCGGGAAAAACCCACGAGGTGTGTTTTGGTAGAGCAGTGATTTTCTCATTTTGTTACTTTTTATCCCAGTCTCCTCATCAATGAGGCTCGTACAGGGGGGTCTCTAGCACAGTTCACGGGCTGAAAACTAGTGATGGATCACGGATGTTATAATTTCATCTTCCCGAATTACGAAAATAGGCAATTAACTATGGTAAGAGCAAGTAACCTGCTCTTTAATCCTGCCTTTTAGGGAAAGAAAAGTGTTTTAAGAAAGCAAAGTCGACATAACTACATCTGTATTGGAAATGTCATACCTACATCAACATTTGTCACTTTCGTCATTCGATAGACAACTTGTACCGTGCGTCCACTACGTGTAGTGACGACCCGAAGAAACGTTAAACTGTCCAGTGAATCACTTTCGCCACTGTCAAGCGTAGCATGATCGGAATCTGAATCGTCTGCGTCGTACTCTTCCTCGACTTCCTCGTCTTCTTCAACTCTTACCTCAACTTCATCGTCTTTTTCGTGTGACGTTGTGGTTGAAGCAGATGTAACAGATATAACCGGCTGTCAAACGAGACTTTACCCAAATCGGGTGTTGGGGTAATATTTCAATTTCCCCTTTGTAATCTAAAATGACTGAAAATTGCAAACTTTGCAGGGCTATATTATCCACATTTTACAACATTTCGCAACGAAACTTCGGAATATTACTAATTCTGTGATGCTCTTTCAAGCTGGGATGAAATTTTTGTCTAAACTTGTCTAAATCAAAATTTTAGTTATTATAAGGTTAAAGGTCCATTGCCTCTGAGCCTTGAGATGGTCTAGTTTGGGAATGACATTTAATGGAGTGTTCTGGCGCAGCACAGGATAATTTGATTAATACTGTGGGTGTAGTAGTAGGTACTCCAGACTATCACACACTTAATGCTTTCGTATAAGGTGTTCGCCAGATTCCGTGCCTACTGCAAAGCGGTAGGAAACTGGTCCTTGAAGTGCCTATCGAGTTTAGGTTTTCAACCGGAACTGTCAGACAAGAGTGTAGGTCAATAATATAGTTTGGGTTATGTTCGTTCAGTGGCGTTAATCTCGGCGGGGTGGGGTGGCGACCGCCCCCCTCCCCCCCCCCGCCCATCTTTACGAAAAATTGACGAATTTTAGGAAATTTTGATCTAAAAGAGGGCTAAAAGTAGTCTTTTCGAGTGCAAATGAGGGGGTTCGGAAATTTGAAGGTTTTGTCGGAAATTTAGAAGGGATGCCCCCCTCCACACCGAAAAAAGTGAATTTCCGCCACTTTGTTCGTTGACTAACTCCTCTAAACGTTTCAGCCCATTTAAGATCATGGTGACCTAAACCTTTGTCTGGGTAGAAATTGTTCCACGAGCGCCGCTTGGTTGACTTTTTCTACTGCTGCCATCATTGATATGTGACAACGCTTTCTCTGTTGTCGTTCTCGAGTAATTTTCAAGTTCTTACAGAAGCTTGATTGTTTGGGACAGGGTAAGTTTTGCGACGGTTTGATGTTTCATATGAACAGAAAAGGCTTTATACAGGAGTCGACCAAGATGACTTAAAAATTTGATTTAAAACGATGCCGACACGAAGATTTAAATTTAAATTTAAATTTTAAATTTATTGATTTTATTGAGTATTCTACAAAATCTACTATTAAAAGTCTAAACACGATATGACAAACACTCACAAGAACAAATACAACAACTGACAATCAAAACCTCAACTACATGACAACATAAGCACATGCAATTTGTAGAAGACCCAAACGGCCAAATTAAAGCACGTCACAATACAACATATAACAGACTCTACATTACAATGTCAATGTTCAAAGACTGACAAGAAATAAACAGTACAGTATTTAAATTAGAAATTGTGGCAACAGCAATCAGGCACCAATGTCCACGTGCATGACATGTCAATGTCAAATTTTGCGTCTAAACAGTGTTTGTACGTGTCCTTAATGTTTCTTTTAAAAGAAGAAAGGCTGGCGAAACTGGTTGGAGGAAGAATTTTACAGGCGTAGTTCCATATTTTAACAATGCGGTTGAAGTAGGATGCTTGGAAAGTACTTGACTTGCAGTATGGAGTTTTGAGAGTGAGCGTAGGATTTTGGCTGAGCCTTGTCCGATCATTGTTCACAAACGAAACGAAGGTACGCACATCGAGATCAATATTTCCATGAAGTGCCTTGAAGAAGAAAACCAAATCTGTTATTTCTCTTTCGTAACAAAGGGGAAGTAAGTTGAGGGTTGTTAATCGCTGTTTATAGCTAATCTCTCCTCGCTTCGATTTCAGTATCCAACCAGTAGCTATTCTCTGGACACTTTCCACCTTAGATATTAGTTTGGTGGTATGTGGAGACCAGACCTCAGTAGCATAGCTCAGCTGAGACCTAACAAGCGTCAAGTACAGCGTCCGCCTCACAGTTGTGTTAGTCAAGAGAGGACAGGTTCTTTTCAGAAGTCCAAGCATCTTGTTCCCTTTTGCGGTGATGGTGAAAATATGGTCATTCCATGAAAGGTTGTTATTAACGCAAACAGCAAGATCTTTCTCTTTCTCTACACGTGATACAGCTTTCGAGTTCATTTGGTAGGCATACGTCAACGGAGACTTTTTTCTTGTGATTGTCAACACCTTACACTTGGATGAGTTGAAACCAAGATTGTTGTCACGGCTCCAGCACTTAAGATTGGTTAGTGCTTGTTGTACTTTTTCACAATCAGCTATCGATCTAATCGAATTGTACACTTTGGTGTCGTCTGCATACAGGGCTGCCATTTTCTCGTAGGGTAAGATGTCGGGAAGGTCATTAATAAAGAGCACAAAGAGAACAGGTCCAAGGATGCTTCCTTGCGGCACACCAGATGTTACGGGTGCCCAATGCGAAGCAGCTCCATCAATAACCACTCTCTGACAACGACCATTGAGGTAATCAGCAAACCATTTATACAACTGACCTCTCACACCGTAAGATTTTAGCTTCTGCAGTAGGATTTGGTGGTCGACAGAGTCGAAAGCTTTGGCGAAATCTAAGTAGACAATGTCGGTTTGGATATTTTTGTCGAGGGATTGTCCAATGGCATGTAGAACAGATAAGAGCTGTGTGACGCATGATCGTTGTCTTAGAAAGCCATGTTGTGATTCCGTGATCAGGTGACTAATATGGTCATAAAATCGGAGGCACACACAACGTTCCAAAACTTTTCCAAGGATGGGCAGCAACGAAATCGGTCTGTAATTCTCGGCTGGTTCAATACGTTCCTTTTTATGAACGGGAGTGACATTAGCGGATTTCCACTCAGATGGAATACGACCACTATGCAGAGAATGGTTGAACAGTTCACAGATGCTTGGTGCGATTTCGAGACTACATGCTTGCAAAAGTCGAGATGGAATACCATCGGGGCCGGTTGCTTTCGAAGTATCAAGGTAGCTCAAACATTGTGAAACTTCATCAACATCGAGCGTTATCTCGGAAATTTGTCCCTCTGATTCCAAAGAGTCTGGGTAATCACTAGGGGCTGAACGGGTTGAGGGTGGATGGAATACCGAAGAAAAGTAAGAGTTGAAAAGTGTCGCCTTTTCCTTGGCAGTTTTAGCTGTGACACCATTGTAGGTAATCTCATTATTTTGACGTTTCCTGTGATGTAGGATGGCTTTGTGGTAGGACCAGAACAGTTTAGGGTTGTCACCAAAGGAATTTTCTATTTTAGAAAGGTATTCTCGGTGTTTGCATCTGATTAAGTACTTTATTCGTTGAGTAAGAGCTCGTAGTTTACTCTTTCGAGTAATTGTTTTGTTCATACGGTATTTTTTCAGTGCTTTGTATTTTCTGCTGATTAAATTGCGTACTTCTTTATCGACCCATGGGGGAGTGTTGGTGTCTTTGACCGTTTTCATTGGCACATACCTCTTCACTGCAGTCAGGAAAGCATATTTCCATTGTTGCCAGCAGTCATCAATATTATTTGTTGGAACAATACTTATAGGAAATTGTGTAAGAAAATTACGCAGACCATCGAAGTTTCCGTTTTTGTAATCGAAAACCTGGCGCTTAACTGGCGTGGCTCTTTTGAACTTAAGATGAATTTCAAGTTCTACGATGTAATGATCTGTAGGAAAACCACAAGACTCAGGATGGGATAGGGAAACGTCACCAATAATGTTGGGAGTGTTACATAACAGCAGGTCGAGTATATTGCCAGCGATGTGTGTAGGGCTAAGTATGAATTGTTGTAGGAAGTTGTCTTCGACTATTTCGCAGAAAGCTTCATTCTCAGGAGAACTTCCGATGTTAATGGGGGTATGTTGATCAGAGGACCATTTAACAGATGGTAGATTAAAGTCTCCTATCACTACAACACGGCTGGATTCCGAATTTCTTTGAAGGGAGTTATTTAATGACTGAAGAACATCAGGCGTAGAGTTTGGAGGACGGTAGAACGTATAAAGTACAACTGGTTTGCTGTTTGATTTCAACATTTCAATAACGACAATTTCGGTGTTTTCAGGTTCCAGGTCATGTCGACGGGTAACTTGTATACCAGTCTTCACAGCAACAAGAACACCACCACCAATTCTGCCAACTCTGTCACAACGAAAGACAGATCCATAATTAGGCAAGATTTCACTGCTTAAGATTGAATTGTTTAACCAAGTCTCGCATACACATACAACGTCGTAATTACCGCTATATGTCAATTGTTGCAGCAACGAGATTTTACAAATTTTTACCGAGTTGTCCCCAGTTGGATGAACAAGTGCTTTTAGACTTCTAGCATTAAAATACAGAACTTTTAATCCGAGAGATGAAGAATTGCAGACAGGTCCAGGATTAGTTGCTATATCACCAGCGAGTAGAATACACAAGAGAAGGTGCAAATTACTATTCGTAATGTTAAATTGAAGTCCATATCTGTGATTAGACATGAGAGGGAAAGTAGACTTACGTAAAGTATTATCGCGCGTGGAAGACCAAAGACAACACAATCGATTTGATATTGATAGTAGTTCTGAAGAAATGCTACAGATATTCTGGGGAAATGTTCTCTCGTTGAATTCAAATTCTGATGGTTTTGATCTTAGTGATAACCAGAAAGTTAAAATGAGAAAAAAGAGATACCCAAAAACTTTATTGAGCATTTTATTTAAGGTTATTTCGTTTGATTTAATTAAACTCCATTACATAAGACAGTTGTTGCCATGGAGAGCGACGCCAGACGGGATTTGAATTTCAAAAGTTCCAACGGTCAAAAATAATTAATTTGAATAATTCATGAACCATACATTTAAATAACATCAAAATTATACAAAATAACCACAAAACGATTCGTAGATCACACAGCAGGGTTCGGACGAAAAGGACAAACGACGACGAAGATATTGTTAATTAACCAAACTGTTCAGTTCTGGCGCTGTAATAATAGGATAGTAATACGATCCAACAAACCAAACCAAACCAAAACAAATCTAATCCAATTCCAAAATACGATGAGAGGATGCACAAAATCCTTAGCTTTAATTAAATATAAAGCTTAAAATAATAGCTGAGAAATTAACTGAAAATTTTTATAGTTAAGCGGAGCTCGTTCAAGCGTAAACCGAACCTATTGACCTATTATATTATTGATTTACGAGCATCTACGAAGATAAACCGAAGACACCGAAGATCGTGGTACGTGGAGTGGTGGAGAATCAACTTAACAAAGTCTACAAAGCAACCGGGCTATACAGACTATACAAAATAGACAAAATGGGACTTGAAAGTCTTTAAAAGTCTAAAATCACGTAAAAGCAGTGGTGAAATCACGAATATCGGTTTTCAATTTAAGTTTTTCACGGGTCACGCGAGACATAAGTGTCACGCATCACGAATCATATTTTTTTGAAATCACGTTAATTTCTCGATAAATGAAGTGATTTAATCACGCATCACGAAAATACCCCTGTATGACCCTCATCAATTTCATATAAATGGCTTATTTCAAGCCAACAAAAAAAATTTGTTTGAATGATAACTTAATTTGGTCTAATTTTTAAATATAATTATTGCCTTCCGAAGCAGAATACTATGCCATCGAACTTATTCGTATTATTTTGTTCGAAGTACTTTTAAATAGCTAGCTATATAGGTTGGAAGGGGAACAGCCTCAGAAGAAAAGCGTTAAGGACTTGCCAAAGTCATAAATATACAAATTGTTGACCAAATTCTGACCAGTTTAGTCTCAATTGACTACATTATTAAGGTATGACGAAACGATGGGGTTTTAGTTTTAGTCCGAGTGTTTTCTGGACCGTAGTTACAACCTGCAATCTCGAAGTTAAAACATTTAATCTTCAAACAATGCTTTTTGAAAGTTGAACGTGTTTATCTCTCTAAAAAAAATACGAGTGTATAGGATTATGACGCGTCAAGATAATTATAAAGTCATCCCTCAATTTTTTAGCAGCTGAAGTTAGTCTCACGAATTAAGAGGTCTCACTCGAAGCCGCAAAACCCGGCTTCCCTATAGTAACTGTAGGACTTATCAGGTTGAGAGAACCTACACGGTTTTACTTCCAAAGCATAAAATGTAAATGAAGCAATGAATAATATAATATATGTTAGTGCAGATCATTTGATGGTATAGGTTGAAGATTAACTAAATCAACACTATAATTCCGGCCACAGCACTTTGGAATAACATTGATTTGGTATCATTGATTACTGGTGACCCATGCAATAGTTTACATAATGACCTCTTAAGATAATATTAATTAATAAATACAATATATATATAAAAAAATTAACTGACTAACTAATAACTTCGTGAGGTGCTAAGATGTTTTACCGATTGTTCATTCTGTTTTTGAGGTCATTTTCACTTTTCTGCAGGAACATTTTCGTGGAGCTTATACGTAGTTATTTACTAGTTGAGTCGGTTTTCTTTGAAGTACCGCGGGATGTATACAGGTTATAAGTTATAATCCGTGAACAAATAGTAAGATTAAAAACATGTCGACTAAACTCGAAAAATCTTGATCGAAAGTGTTTGAATTTGATGAAACCTTATTCGAAAACCTCGAGCTCCTCAATTGCAACTAGTAAATAAGTCGGTTATAAACTTCGAACTTGGGGTATAAGTTATATATCTGGCCTCGGGGTCAATATATTCATGTATCGCTATTTATGAGTTAGAATCAGGGGTTAGGGTTCGGTTTAGGGTAAGGATTAGGGTCGACATTCATAAATAGCGAAAACCCATGAATCTATAACCAATATATGACTTATACCCCGCGTTCTCGGTTTATAACCTACTGTTGCTATACGTTAAAGGATTGGTGTCATACCATTGTAGCGTGGGTTGTCTTTATCTTACCAAAATTAACAAATGATGATAAAAATACCTTGTTTCGTACTTTTGCAGTCAGGGGCGGCGCTAACCCTCTTCAAGTGGGTGGGGGGGGGGTGTGAGTGAACTTTTGCCGACTGTTGTTTGGTAATTTTGCCGAGTCATTACCCTATAGTAAATGTGTATGTTTAAGGGGCGGACCATTTTATTTTTTAGGGGGGGGGTTGGAAGATTGAGACTGTGCAAGAATTTTTTTCCGTCCAGGGGAATTAACAAGAATGGGGGAGGTACAGTATATGAATTACCTGTAACCTTGGGGGTTCGGGGGCATGCTCCCCCGAGAAAATTTTAAAATTTGAACCTCGGAAATGCTATTTCCTGCGTTTTCAGCCATGGATTCGTCCAACAACTTTGCTGTACTAAGCCTAAGGAACACTTACTGTCCTTATTTTAAACAACGGGAAATTAATAATATTTTGATTAATACGTAATAAAACAAGATTTCAATGCGATTTTTAACTGCCCTCCGAAACAACAATGTTCCACCAATGCAAATATAGCTCTGTAGCTTTTCAATCGTTCATACAGATGGCTTGTTGGGGATCGGGCTGCATCATTTTCAGAAATTTTTTAAAATCTATACTCTCCAAACTGGCATTTTCGCATTAAAATCATCGTATATGCAGTACGTTCAACTTGCATCCTGTAGATGGGCCTATGTAGTTTGGAGCTATGCTATCAAAAACGCCATCCAAAAATACTTTTTCTACCATGCATATTAGATATGTATAAATAACTTATAAACTTGTACATATCTTAAGCCCAGATTTTCTCGGGGGGGGGGCAACAATTTTGCCAGAGAACGCGACGGTAGAATCCCTGTGATTTTGTCCACTGTTCACCTCGTGTTCTTCTAAGCGAATGTGCCTGCTCAAAAATGCAAAAATTTTGCAAGCCTGTGGACACAATACTGAAGTGAAGAACGTTGAGCGCTCTCTTTTGCATGATATTTTTTTCTCGATTATATGCTGCATGATATTTTTTTCTTTCTCCTTGGATTGCAGGAAGTTTTTTTCGAAATCTTCCAACCCCCCCCCCTCCCTCTAAAATTAAATGGTCCACCCCTAAATGCGCTTTATTGCCCTCTATTAAGCCGGTTTTCCACTAGCGAATTGTTTCGCGCGAAGCGACCTTTTTCCTTTGTCGGCATCCATTTTGAAGCCCTCGAAAACCGTCAAAATTGAGATCGTCAAAAAAGGGCCGACCTAAATCTGACCTAGGTCGGCATGTCTCGGCATTTCTTAAAATCTGTTTCACGTCTTGGAGCACTATTAATCACGCATTTACGAATCATTGAAATCGGAATATAACTGGAACGTTACCTCCAGCCGGAAAATTCGAAAGTTGAAGCCAAATTTTAACTCTATAGACGCGCGAAATTTGATCTTCAGACACCTAACGTATATACACATGCAATACCCGTCAATTTTTAAACTTTACACCATCATGTGTTCAATTAATCGAACTACGAATCGAATTCTATAATCGCTGACTTTTAATTAGAAAGAATTTGCATTGCTGCATGTGTGGTTTCTTTGATGCATGCTAGTCGTGATATTCGGTTTGAATTCAATTATTTAGTAAGTCAATTTTGGTTTCTTCAGTGGTTATCTTTAGCCAATCCAGTTTTGCCGACTGAAATAATAATTTGCCGACTTGCTGACGAGTGTGGCCCTCCCCATCCACCCCCCCCCGCTCCAGCAGCAAATTGACACTAACCCTTTATAAACCTACACGTAGTTTAGCAATTTTGAAGAATATTCAGAGTAGATTTTATCCATCTCATATAGCAATTCCTTCATATTATTTAAAAACTTTCTTTTTTAACTATACGGCCTTTCTGGACAGTAGTGGTCGTGACACCTTTTTGGTTGAGCGTGAAAATTTTCATTCCAGTTTGTGCCGCATTCTTTATCACCTGAATCTAGTTGCTTGTTGTCTGCATGCCAATGGAAATATCCAACATTTTTTCTTAAATTATCACCAATCTTCTAACACCGTGTTTATGAATCCTTGAGAACTATTTTTCTGCGAGAGTGACGGATATTGCTGGTGTCAAATCTATGCTGATTATCAAGTTCTTATATTTCTCACCGCACCAACAAACTGTAATATTGACACCAACTTTCGTTGTTTTAATGAATGTATGCAGGTTTTTGTCGTACTTGCATAACCTGAAGCGAATATTCTTATATTCCCTCCTATTCAAGAGACAAGCAGCTTTCTATAGCAACGTTGAGATATACTTCTTTAGCTTGACGTTGGAAAGAATGTACGAGTCTTCAAGACAAAAATTTGACCACGACTCTTGATACCCCTCTTTTACGAGAAGCTTAGCTGTGGTCCACATTGGATCATTAAATTCACATTTGTCTCGCAATCCCACAAGCCCCATCAGGAAATCAAATTCATCAGGAAACCACATCTTCGTTCCTTCTGCACTACTCCCGGCCCATAAAATGTTGCTTTCTAATCTCGGATCAATTTCTGAGCATTTTTGCATGTCCACAGAAACGCATTTCTGCTTCTACTCCGTCCAAAAAGAGAACTTTACCTTGTTCAACATGTTTTGCCATTATATCAAATATATCAAGCTTATTTGGGGTCATTCGGCGCACTGTCGCCCAGAATTTAAAAATGCTCTATCTTGTTGCATGCACGCATTGGCCAGTGACATAGTTCGGCGGAATTTGTCTAATCTTCCTTTGGTATTTTGACGAATTTCTTCAGTCGAACAGTGCAGGAAACTGTTATTCTTCTTTTGAAAAATATGGTTAATGTGGTCTTGTTGATTGTTGTTTCTGCAAATTTGTGTGAATTGGCTTAAAGCGCTCGGATTTCCTTCACTTGAATTGGCATGTTCGTTCCGTAAAGTATTGTCAACGATGGTACAGGGGCTTAACGGCAAGAGAAGCAATTTTTCTAGCAAATGCCCACTGTTTCCACAATGTGCAACATCTAAGGGAGTATTACCGTCACAATCCTCAGTTTTGATATCTGCGCCATAATTTATAAGAATTTCTGCCATTGTCCAGTTTCCTTTCGCTTATAGGCTACTAAATGAAGTGCTTTTCGACTATGAAGATCTTGCATGGCAATTCACTTCAACATAATACCTTGAACGAAAGACTTCTTTAAACAATTTGAATCAAAATATTTCTGGCAGGATAAACAACTTTCTACCAGCTCATGAAGCAGCGGCTTTCCGATGATATCAACTTTGATCAAATTCGCGCCATAATCAAGAGTTTTGATTAAGAGGCAATTTTTTTCAATGTCACGTATATTTGCAATGAAAAGTGTTCAAAACCTAAAATCTTTTTGGCGTTTCTCTCAAAGTTACTCTGTTTTAGCTTTATTCTCTAGTTTATACAGTTAGCAACCTTTTTAAATGCAAGTTCCGGTTGAGAAACATAAAATAATAGTTTAAAATTGTCAATTAAAATACAATTATCAATGATGCTTTAAAATTAACGCCATATTTACAGCCATATAAACAAAACTTACTGAACGTCAGACATCATTTTCTCTTTGGCGTATCATCTAGAATCTCTTCATTTTAGCATTATTTTACAGATAAAGCACAAAACATACTTTTTAAGTTTGTTTGCCGATTGAGAAACGTATCGAAAAATAAAAATTTTGAATTTAGTCATAACCTCAAGTGGTATATTATACGCATTAGTTTTGAGCGTGTGTTACGTAACATACAAAAAAATTTCCTCTTAATAATGACCATGCAATATTCCATGCATCCAAGGTTTTATGCGAGTATCCAATCAAGTATTATATAGGCAATCTATCTAGTTCATCTGTAATGTTAGGATCAGCACCGTATTTCAACATTGTGTCTATCATTTTCTCAGGCTTCACTCCTGGTATGAAAACCTGTGTTCCTCAGGAATTCTTACAAACAGTTTACAACGCCCTAATACAACCCTATTTTGACTACTGCTGTCAATTGTGGGATACCTGTGGAATCGTCCTAAAGGAAAAACTACAAAAATGCCAATCCCGAGCTGCTAGAGTAATAACAGGAGCATCTTATGATATTAGGTCGGCCGATGTTCTTGCAACTTTGGGGTGGCAAACTCTCGACAATAGGCGAAAATATTTGAAATCCATTTTTATTTACAAAATCTTAAATAATGAAACTGCTCCAAACCTGAAAGAAAATTTTTTGAAAATAAGTGATTGTCCAATTACACACCAATTAAGAAATTCTCAAACAGATCTGGTTCTTCCATTCCCAAAATCACAATTTAAGAAAAAGACCTTCAGTTATAGTGGAGCAACTCTTTGGAATAACTTATCAATTATTGTTAAACAATCTAATTCTTTGAGTTGTTTCAAAAGACTAATGAAACAACATTTTCGAAAACCATAAGTATGTAAATAGTTTTGTATGTTTGTTATTTATTTATGTTTGTTAATTGTCAAAATAATAATCATGTAAATAGTTTGTATTAAGAATATGTATTAGTCTTATTCTTACACGTCCCCTATGGAAACCATCAAAAGATGTTAGGGCTAACGTGTTTAAATAAATTTTTATGTATGTATGTATGTATCATATTGTCAAAATAAACATGCAGAGCTGTCTGCCCAACATCGTTGCGAGCATTTGAATCAACATTAAAATCATGTAACAGAGGCAAAAAATGAAAAGGAAAATTTGAATTTCCGAAATATCTGTAACTCATCATGTCGTGATAAATAGTATTACCGAAATTATTCGGAGAGTTATAGGATTAGCATTATTTTGAACTTTGAAGAAGAATTCTAGCACATTCCAATGCATCAACAACACAATGTCACAATGGCGTCTTATCATTGCTATCAACACAATTGACATCACAGCCAAGATTAATTAAATATTTTGTAATTTCTTCGTTGTTCAGTTTGGTTACACGATGAAGCAAAGTTGATTGTCTGAAACATTGGTCCTTGGTATTTAGATCCACACCAGCTCATGAATACATTGCCGGTTTCAGGATTTCATAATCGTCAGCTTCGAAAACGCGGACATCGTTTCTAAATAATTAATACTTTCCAAAAAAAATGATTCGGCAAATTTGGTTTTAAAATCGACAAAATGTTGAAAATGTCGTCCCCAGAAAACGAAAGAAGTACAAAATGTTGTATTTTTAACTTGAAAGGTAGGATTACTTTATTATTTTATTGTCTGTGTCAAACATGGCACGGACAATTTAAAACATATTAAGG